ATGTCTGCGATTTACACTTCAAGATCATTGTATATTGGTTTGTGAAGATCTTCAAAGTTACATTACAGTCTACCAGGGACTGCTATGTCTATAAGAAGGCATATTCTGTTTTTGTCGTCTTTGATATCGATGTCTGGGCGATTAGCTTTCATTGTTCTCTCTTTGTCTATTGTAAAGTCCAATAAAATTGTAATAGGTCATATCTCTGTAATCGGGTCTGATGGTGATTATACCAGTTTCTTGCAGTTTCCTTCCAGTAAAAAATTGCAGATTTCCCAGTGCATATATTGGCCAACTCTGTCATGCTGTGTTTCATATTCAGTGAATATTAACACAGTGCAACCCGGTCAAATGTTTCTGGATATTTATCACAGAATCTGCATTTTGCGTTAACACAATTTTTCAGTTTGTGTGCTTGGTAATTTCTAGTTAGCAAGCATTGGTCCTGTGCAGTAAGAATAAAACCTTCGTTTTTAAACTTTTAACCTTGTACCACTTAACCACTGATGGGTGCAAGTTTTTCCTACATCAGTTTGTTTGATACGGGCATAATATTGACCATGAAGAGACATCTTGTGATCGTCTCTGCATTTGACACATTGCATTTGCTTTCTTTTTAGGTTCTTTGTCGCTGCAATAGCTATATTATGGTTTATTTTCACTTCTTCACAAACTTGAAATTCACTTTCGAATTGGTTCACTTCCCTTATTACTGGATAAATTTTCTTACTTCTTTCATATTCTTTTGGCACAGATCATCATCTAGGCTTCTGTAGCTTCCACTTATCTTTGAAGACTAATTGTCGTGGTTTTTAAGACAGTTCTATTTGAGCTAATTCTCTTCCTCTTTCTGATCTGTACAGATAATGACGATCGACGTCAGCTTTAGGATGATGCATGCGTTAACAAGTGAGAAGCTTTCAGGTTTTGATATCCATTTGCTTAATATCAGCTATGGTCCAATTAAGAATGTTAAAACTGTATTTCACTACAGTGTTTATGGCTGATATTCTGTTTTTATTCAACTCGGTATTTAACACCAGACACGCACTGCAATATTCTTTTCTCCTTCATGTGGGTATGCTGTATTCTATATCCTTCGCTGACTCGTAAGTATTTACACGCCTCTTCCTGCTCCAGTGTCCTAATCTTTCTGACAAAATCTAGATCTATTGGGTGTGTTTCTGTAATATTACCTTTTTTTGAATGTTATTTTTGCACATTTATCTAATCCGAAATCCATACCGATGTCATCACTGAAACATTTTATTGTATTGAGGATACCGTTGAACTCATTGTTGTCTTTGGCAAAGAGATTGATATCATCCATGTAGAATAGATGGTCAAACATTTTCTTGTTTACTTTCTATCCATAGTTATTACTGTTTAGCTCATGCCAAAAGAGGATTAACGACAGACAGAACAGAAGTCTCCTTGAAAATTTGCGAGTTGGATATTCTAACAATTTGAAGTAGCAGTGCCTTTTTTTTTATAATATTCAGCATGCACTGACTGAACAGTTAGCGTTACTGTCAGTTGAAATTTATAAAAATATTTCTTTATCCTTTGTTTTTATGAAAATATACATCACATGTCCACTAACCATCATCGATCTTTCTACTATTAATGGTCGTTTCCTTTTTAACCTCAATTTAATGTAATGTGAAAAGTTATCATCTTGATTGCATAATTGTTCTGCCTTCTAAAAAACATGTTATCAATTTTATTTATTGCTGTTGTTGGAAGACTTCTAGCGAATATATCGATTTTAGTCCCTTTCCCACCCGCTGTAACATAGTTTCCCCCCCCCTGCCTTTTCTGTAAATATTTTCATGGTAATTGTTCTGATAAACTTCCCTCTATAGTGCCTAGACATTATGAATTTAGGTGCATAGCTCAATTGGCGGAATGTTCTCATAATTTTACAGTTGAATTGGTTAGATGTAACCGTAAGTTCTATGTTAACAGTTTCTTCTCCCGTAATTCTCACTTGTCAAACTCTCTCCCGGCTTCTTACTGCCCAGTCAACTTTGATCTTCAAAAATTTAAATGCAATATAAATCATTATCTTCACTCTTCTTAATTCCCGTTCTTTTACTGTTCTCTCTCCTGAATGATGTTTTTGTTTCATATTTTCTTACACTCAGTAAACCATAACGCCTTTATTGCATTACTTGGGATGAAATGATTAAAAAAAGTGATTTTCTTTTAGCAATATGGTAAAGTTCTTTATTTGTGATTCTGTAGTTTCAGTGTATAAGATTTGATGAAGAATTGTCTTCTTTCAGATCTAGAGGATTCATTTACTGGAAGCCATTTTTAACAATTGATCTGAGGATACTGTCATATACAGTTGATAGTGCGAACATTTTTGAACGAGTTCCACGCCATTCCTGGTACCCACACGAATTTCGGCATGACGAAGCTATTTAAGAAAAGTTAATATTTTGATTTTGTAGCATCTTTCCATGGTGGACAAAAGTACCATCGGGTGGGTTCAGTTTCCTCATCTCCTATACTAAATTTGTTATAACTAATCCATAAACTGAAATTCCACGTTCTTTTTATGCTTGATTTAGATTATATGCAATCACTACTCTAATTTCAGTTCCAAATCATAGTTTTTCTTTTGAAATACTTGGCAAAGAATGTTAAATCTTTTTTTCAACATCATTCTTTTATCAACTATGAATTCGTACGTCACCCGCTTAAACCACCACCTTCCACCAAAACCCGCTCATCATCTCGTGATGGCCTGCAAGATTAATTCACCGTTACTTCACGACAAGGTGGCTTCAATCATAAAGATAAAAAATAAAAGAGTACATTGTTATCTTATTGATATCTGAAATTAAGGTGAGATTTATGAAAAGACAATATGGGAAATTTAAACAAATGTTTTAATGAATATAATTTAATTCCTCTTAAAGCGTGCACTTTAATTTCTTATTCCTTCTTTTAAAGTATGTACTTCAAACTCTACGTTTAAACAGGTACGTCAATCTTTTCCTTTATAGCAAGTGGTTTAATCAGCAGCTATTTTAATCATTTTTTACTGCAAATAATATACTTTTTAATGCAAATTCTTTAACTATTTTTAAAAGCATATGCTATAAGTTCTTTTTAAAGCATATATTTATAACGCTACTCATAAATCTTGTACTTTAATCACTTCTTTATATGCATATCTTTTAACCTCTTCAATGCATATACATTATATTTCTCTTATATTTAATCACTTCTTCAAAACAATATCTAAATCTATTCTTTTTAAACATATATATCCGTCACTTAATGTCTATACTTTAATCTCTTCTTTAAGAATCAAATTTGATTTTTTGTTTTAAAACGTCCTTTAATCTGCATCTTGTCTCAGATTCTGATCAAATCATGTTAGAGAATATAAATTCAGTGTTACAGAATACGAGATCAAATATAAAATTACAATATGCTTTCGTTTTTATTACTTAAAATCTGCATAGAACACAGCAATTAATTCTCTTTTCATTTTTCTTAAGCATGTATTCGTGATTAGGAAAAGCAGAATAATATCAAAGATATACACTTTTATTCTTTGAATTCCTAATTTAGTTAATAAATTTGATCAGCCATAATGTCAATCCGAATAAGAACTTGAAGTTATTAAATGAGAATTGTTAAAACGTTATGTAAAACAGGATAAATTTGAAATCCATCGGATATTACTATGATCGCATGTTGATCACGAAGTACAAATTAAGTTCAAACAGTCTTATATTGACTTTTACTATATTTTTTTAGACTGATTTTTTTTACCAAAATACCATTGGTAATATTCATGATGAATACAGATTACTCCAATACAGAATAACCAATTAGAAAAATCACCGTAAAAAGATCTTCAAAATGACACAAAAAATAACTTCTCAAGTAGTTTTATGCAAAAAAACTTTTAATTAATCCTTAAATAAAAGAAATATTTCACTTTTTTTGGAATGACAAATGCATGAGCGCAGCTTTGTGAGATATTCTAAATAAAAAACTAACTGCTCTTAACTTGGATTATAATATATTACTTTTTAGCGTAAATACAGAATAAACAAATTCTCGGGATGAAACTTTAATGCTACTACTAATATAATAAGAATTTGGTACTTATAAGCATTACTTTTGAGAAACATTTAAATAACTGAATTAGTATTTAAGTATTTTTGGCAATACAGAAAAGCAATAGAAATACATTTAATGCAGTTTGGAAGCCGGCTTTCACATTGAAGCATATCTTGTAACAAAGACAACACAGCATTTTGAGTATCAGTTGACATTTCAGGGTTTGCTTTACGTGTTCTTTAAGGGTTGATATTATCTGCTAAAATATATGAAGACAGCTGGCGGAATTTTGAAAATTTTAGTTTTGGATTATCTTTATACTGTTCGTTTTATAACTGTTATTTAAAGAAAAATTACTACTGTCAGGATTAAACGTAAAAAACACAAAATGGTCGCTAGGATTCATAAACTTTAATAAATTCTTTTAATAATTAAAATATAGCAACTATTAAGAGAGTAATGCTCTACATTTTTACAACTCCTAAATCATTCTTGAAACATAACTGTAGGTTTTTAAACAAAATCATATACCCACTTACATTTCTATCAGAGACTTAAAATTTTATATAAGATTAAGTTCTTCAAACAATCTGCATTATTATGGGCAGAATGTAGAGATGGTTGTTGATTGACTTTGTTTAGCGGCATATTTTCCTCTATAGGTTATTTAATGCCGAAATTGAAATATTTTGTACGTAATTTTTATTTTTTTTATTTTTTAGATAATAATGGTTTTACTGATAAAATTCTTACTAATTAACCCATAGCCAAGGAAGAAGAAGTGGATTCATACCTTTCCCAATGATATTTGCGCGTTACTTAATATAACGAACCCAAATGGAATTGGAACTTGCCTCTCCAATTTCCAATTCCGAGCCCTTATCATTACACTACCCGCACATCCAAGCTTATATCACCTAGTATTCCAAAACGGCCACCCATCTAAGTATTGACCAGGCTTCACTTCGGCGATCGTATGGGAACCGGTGTTACAGCGTCATGTGGCCATAAGTCAGAATGTAGAGAAATGCCTGTATACTTCCATTCATTCTAATGGTAATATATAGTAATTACGTAAATATGAAGTAATCACAGCTGTTTTTTTTTCACACCAGTTGAATTTGTGTACAAACAAATAAATACCAGATTTTCTTCCTATCATTGCCCACTGACTTGACCGCTACTCCATCACTACTCTGCAGTACTTTAGTATTCCATATGACAAGGATCCAAAATGACGATTAAGCAAAGAACTGTTGTAACTTTTTACTCAAATCTTCTCTATGAAATTTTCATCCTTCAGTCTGAAATTATGAAATGGACAGGGCAAGTTCTACTGACACAATTAGGGCGCTCTTATATGAACGGGGGTGTTGCTGAAAAGGTCAGTTCCACTTCCTAAATTCTATCTAGATGTACAAACATCAGATAACTTTTTTATGTTTACTTTGTTAATTCCTTCTTGGTTGAAACGAGAACCCTTTACTACCGCCTCATATATGTTTGTAAGCTTACATGAAATTATATAGATTTTAATAAAAAATATATACCTAACAGTCTCGTGTTACAAATAAACAGAATTTGCCAATCACCTAGGGCTTATAGCATATAATTCATACTATAAGGTATACTATATAGAAATATAGTGCTTTAAATAAGAGCTGAACTGAAGAAAGCGATGTCGATGTGTCAAGTACCGTATCTACGCTATATGCAAAGCTGTTTTAATTACTAAATTATCTTTGTAAACTGAAGCCGAAATATCAGTGTATATTCAAATATGGTTTCCTAAAATAAAACAAGTGAAACAGATATAGGATGCATTTAAGATTCGCTAAAAATGAATATACATGATGGAAAGAGTTCCCATACTTAATCTTTATGTTATTATTAAACGGAAAGACCAAAGGATTTTTTTTATATTAAATTATATTTTTAATCCTTTTTTAGAACCTTCAAAATATTGATTAAAATTTTTGTTTTTCATGCGTCAACGGAGAACCAGAAATTAGTATGTGAAAAACACACTAAAATTCTTGCAAAAATCAGATCATTTTCGGATTTTAATTAAACTTTCAGGACCTAATAAAAATATGAATTAAATTATTTTAGAAACGTTTTGTTTTTAGGAAATCCTGGAAAAATATTTTTTACATTTATTTAAATTTTATGAAATTTCGTGAAATGGGGTTAGTGTTAATATTTGTTATAAGCACAAGTCCTTAGAGAATATAATACTTTTTTTTTTCTAGCAGGACCACCAGTTACAGAAAATCTACTCTGAATCATAAAATAAAAAATGCAATAAAACTAAGACATTATTTAATTTGAAAAGCTTTTAATTGCTTTCATGAATAAAATATATTATGTCATAAGGAAAACATTTTTTCGATGAATAATGAATTTTTACAAGGATTGCTTGTGTTTTGTTTAATTGTAATGATTGTAATTTATAAAGTTTTAAATCTTTTAAAATCCTTTATTAATTTTTACCGCTTATGTAATATTGTTATTCAGTAAAAACTATATTTACTAATCATAAATGGAAATCTTTGCTACAAATTCAGCTAGCAACAGTATTTTTAAAATAATTTTGAATTATTTTGTGTGTATATAAACGTGCTGAATTTGTAAATACGGTCGTCTGTACACGACATTTATCAGAAAATAAAAATTTATTGGTAATTTTCTAACATTCACTCAACCTCCGAGTTGAAATCATTCAATAATACGTCCATCAAAAGAATTGAGGACTTTAAATATCTTGGATCTCACCTGATAGATTCCCAAAAAGACTTCAACATCTGCAAAATTTCTGCATGTGATCCATGTAACAAACTTGACAAGATTTGGTGCTCGAATCTTCAATCCTCCTTAAAAGTCCAAACTTTTCGAAACTGACTGAACCAGTCTTATTAGTATGAATCAGAAATTTGGACATTATCTGTTCGTCTTGAAAGACGACTGAATGCAGCATATACAAATCTACTAAGAAGAATCCTGAACATCAGTTGGAGATCCCATACAATGCTTAACACAATCTACGGAGAACTGAGATCAATTTCTCTTAAGCTCAAGCAAAAACGATTACAGTTTGCCGGCAACTACCACCGAGCGGTCAGAGACATCATATCATCCTCACTCCTATGGCATCCTTCTGGTGTCGTCTCCTCCGAAAATTGACTTCCAAGTGCCCATAGCTCGGGACAGAGGGTTTGACATTGGGTTGTCTGGGGACAGTGTGAGAAGAGATTGTCAATGGAGTTCTGACCAACCATAGGAAGATAGAATGATGATGATGATGATGATGATGATGATAATGATGTAAGATAATAAAGCCAAAGTACCTAAAATTCAATAAAAAAATTAGATTATTTTGAATATTTTCTATAATTTTAAGATTAATTAAAAATAAAAAATTATATAAAACAGGCATTTATGTTGTATTTGTCAAGTAAATTTTACAGTTATGTAATCTGTACTTAAATTTACCAAACATTAAATCTCCGTCAACACCTCATAAAAATACCCACCTCTGTGTTAAAAAAGTGATCATCGGTGATATTTTAAACTAAATGTAATTAATATTTGTTTTAATTAAGATTAGTTAAATTTTAAATCAATTTTAAATCAATTCATTTTCCTCAAATGAAGCTTCATAAAAGTATTTATTTAACAGATTTGTCAGTATGGCCAATTTTAGCAATTTCAAAAAAGAAAAAAGTAATAATAATTTATATTCAGCTTGAAATACAGCTAAGTATTTTAATTATTTGAAATATTAACTTTAGTCTATTAACTTGGAATTAAAACTAAAGTAAAATCTTCTAAAAAGATATTTTAATTTTAAAAATGCATTTTAAACTTTAGGTGCCACTTTTTGATACCTATTTAAATGTATTTCAAATGTGGAGTAATCATGATACGCTGTATACGAAAATATTTAACCCATTAAACAAGTGCTCAATGAATATCTAGAATTTGTAAACAATATTAATCCTAATCAGTTCTTTAAAGACACATGGATTTTTCTTAGTAGATTTGTATATGCTGCATTCAGTTGTCTTTCAAGACGAACAGCTAATGTCCAAGTTTTTGATCCATACTGGTAGGACTGGTTCAGTCAGTGTTCGAAAAGTTTGAACTTTTAAGGAGGATTGAAGATTCGAGCACCAAATCTTGTCAAGTTTGTTACGCGCATTCCAGGAAAAAGCTTTGCTGATGTTGAAGTAGATAAAAGCCTTGGTTGAAGTAATACAGTGACTTGACCCAGAGAGTTTTGAGTTCAATAACTAACCTCAGCAGAATGAACAAAAACCTTTAGTTGACTTACTAAAGGGAAATAATTGAAACTGAGATATCGAGAAAAGGCATGGCATGTAGAACGAGAACAATCTAATCGGGAGACACAATAAAGGGTTTGGTTTGAAGTTCCAACGTATCACCTGAAGAAGTGCAGAGCGTACAGCGGCTGAAACGTCGTGAACAGGACAAGAAAGTTGAGGACAACAGCCCGAACAATATAAATAGTGTAAATACAATATCTCATCTCAGTACAAAACCTCATCTCATAAATAAAGACAGATGTTAAACGAGAAACATTCTATTATTATTCCATCTATTCTTTTTTCTTACAATCGAAAAAACAGGAAAATATAAAAGCAATATCTGTGGCCTACGCTATGCATTTACCACTGATGGCAGAGGTTATTGTTGGAGACTAGTTATAAAGACAGAAATTTAAATGCTTTCAGACCTTCGCTATTTGGAAGAAGGTTTAATAGATTTCCCTTCATCTGGCCTTGTGCAGTGCTAAGCTTAGTAAATATTGATTTCTTTAAAGGCTTTATTCTTCCTGGATGTAGGTGATCACGGCTCTTTCTAGCTTCCTTTCAGTACGCCTTTAAATTACTATAATTTCTTGGGAAAGATGGTGTGATCGTTTCTTGTTGCATTCACCACTGTTTTCAATTCCGATCAGTCATTCTTTTAGTCTGAACCACACCCCAGGGTCTAGAGCTTAATCTGCACTGCAATTTAACCCATAGCTCGGTAGGAAATGAGTAGCTGCACGCTATTTCTAAGAGAATGTGACGTGAACGCAACAAAGTAGACAGGAATTTGAACTCGACTCGCCGATTCCAATTTCATATTCGAAAACCATTATCCTACCCGCACATATTGATGTGGAACCAATATTAGGTATATTGTTAAATGTGTCCATTAGTCGCGTAAGTAAAGAAAAGAGATACATTGATAGATTAGATAGATAGATGTTACTATTTTTGGACTAGTTCAGATAAACAGGTATTTTTTTTGATTGATAACAAAGTATTATCCTCAAGGATTCCATTGCCAAGTTCATCGTCTGTGTACATATTAAGAAAATACTTGCATATTTTTAGCGCAGAAAATTATTAAATATTGCTTAGCTTTAAATGATTTATTAACAGACTTTTAACCATTATGAAAACCAAGGTAGAACTACTTGCCTAAATCGAAATGTTATGAAAGCTGTCAGTATTTATGAAGACCAAATAAGCTAGCGTCATGTCGATTTGATGGCACTGGTGTTTTATGCCGTTGCGCATGTGTACACATTCAGAAAATGAACTGATTATAATTGCATAAAACAGCTTTTGCAAGCTGCATCAGGCGAAGGTGACCCAAAAGTTGAATATGAATTCGTGTACAAGAAAAAGAACAAAGAATGCGGGTAAAGAGTGGATAGAAAACAGAGAAAGGAAGTTGGCACACGGGAAAGAAGATCTACAGAAAAATAAGACAAAAGCAAGAACAAACAAATGAAAAACTGTCAGGAATATGAGTAAGGAGGAAAAATGCAGAGAAAAACCTTAGCGCCAGATTGTCATCTTGTTGACACGTGTTAATATTTCATCGTTTGCGCGTAGTGAGTTTTTGTTTTGTTGCAATCGGTCGACGTTGTCCAATTTGCGACCGGGGGCGACAATCGCAAGGGAATTGTTGTTTTATGTCGACACTGAGG